CGTATTATTTGATAGATATACTGAAAACTGAGAGACATGATACAAACTAAAAAACATATGCATACACAATCTCATACAGAAAGATCTGTAATATCCATACAATACATCGCTCTTATCGGCCACACACATTCAATAAGAAAAATAAAAAAAGGCTATTAAGTTATGGGACCGCACCATATTGTCTCTGTAGCTTAACATTGGACCCTTTTCCTGGACTACACGATCTCTCTCTCTCTCTCTAAAAAACGTTGAATCTCTTCTCTCTTTTTGGAAATAAATAGTTGAACCTTTACTTTTTCTTCTTTCCTCACTGTCGATCGATCTTCTCTTTCAGCTGAGTATAAATCTAAAAATGGAAGAGCACCTTACTCAGTACGGTATACCGGACCTCAGGCAGCTCATAAAAAGCGAAAGGAGGACAACTACGACGGCATCACCGTCCACTTCTTCTCATTTTCCTCCAGACTTTTTCGGCTTCAACCTAGCCCCTGCCGCGCCTCCCCAACCGCAACACCACCGTGTACATCAGTTCACGACTGACCAGGAGATGGGTTTCTTGCCACATGGCACACATGGGTTGGGTGGTGGTTCTTTGACTCATGGAAATAACAGTAACTTAAGCACGAGCACCAGTGGTGGAGGAGTTGCGTTTAAAGGGTTTCTAGACGGAGGAGGTTTCGGAGGCAGCGGAGGAACGGGACGGTGGCCGAGACAAGAAACCCTAACTCTGCTGGAGATTAGATCTCGTCTTCATCATAAATTCAAAGAAGCTAACCAAAAGGGACCACTCTGGGATGAAGTTTCTAGGTTTGCTTCACTTGTCCTATCTTGATTTATTTTTACCCTAATCTCTCTCTCTCTCTCTCTCTCTTTCTTTATCTTCTCATTTTTCTTAGTTATTTTTTAATAAATACATTTAAAAGAAACTTTAATAACATTCCCTGTTAACCACTAAATTGCTTCCATCTACTTAATCTTAATTTTATTTTTAACTTTTTGAGTATTTTTGTTTTGTGGGTTTCTTTGAGAGTTGAAATGATTTGACCCTTCATATACTTTCTTGTTAACAATTAGATCTTTCAAGTGAAAATCCCAAATACAATTTATGATTTCTGCATCATGAATAGCTAAAAAGAATGTGACCTCAAGCCTTACCTTTAGCTCCTCAATTTCATATACTTTTTGAGCTGATCAATATAGGGACGCATATAAATATCAATGATCTCATGTATACATAACACGCACACATATTGAGGTATATCTACAGAGTTGTCAGTTTCAAACAATTTCTTTATGAGTCTTTTTGTTTTGGTCAAGAGAATGACCAGACCTTGGCAGTTTCAGTTAAGACGCTATCAGGAGCTTTAAAACCCCAAAAGGGTAAAACATAAACAAGAGTAAAACAAAAAGATTTATTATCTTTCTGACTTTTATTTTAGTTGTTTCTCCTTTTTTACTGATAACTTCTGATTCAGCTTTCTTAGCTTCTGAAGATATGTACTCTCTTCTTTTGTGTAACTATGCATAGAAACATGTTCTTGGGTCAAACTATTAGTCCACTAGCAAGTCTCGAACAATATTCTTGGTCCGAAAGTTATAGCCAGTGCATGTTACGGAAAAAAAAATAAAACGTTTATGTAGGTCACTATCTAATCTTAAGCAAATACACCATATAATGATATGTATATACATAGCATTTGCCCAAAAAAAATGATATGTATATACATATTTATATAATGGATGTATATACATATATTTATCCATGAAAATAATGAATATTTTGAATAACTTATGAAAAGTGAATGATTCAAAGCTAGATCTATAAGATTAGGGCACTGCTTCAACTTCCAGTCAAGTATGAACTAGTGTAGTCTTTCTCATTATTTTGTTTTAACATTCAGGATTATGTCTGAGGAACATGGATACCAAAGGAGTGGGAAGAAATGCAGAGAAAAGTTTGAGAATCTTTACAAATACTATAAGAAGACTAAAGAAGGCAAAGCCGGAAGACAAGACGGTAAACACTATAGATTTTTCCGGCAGCTTGAGGCGCTCTACGGTGATTCCAACAACTTGGTTTCTTTTCCTAATCACAACACACAGTTCATGAGCAGTCCTCTTCATGGGTTCCACACTCAAAACATTATGAACATTCCCACAACAACGTCTAACATTCATGCCGTTGATGATAGTGTTAAAGGTCATTTACATCATCAAAGCCTAACTATTTCTAACAACTACACCTCCTCCGAGCTGGAACTGATGACTTCGTCTTCTGAAGGGAATGATTCTAATAGTAGAAGGAAAAAGAGGAGTTGGAAAGCTAAGATCAAGGAGTTCATTGATGTGAACATGAAAAGGTTGATAGAGAGACAAGATCTTTGGCTTGAGAAGCTGACAAAGGTTATTGAAGACAAAGAAGAACAAAGGATGATCAAAGAAGATGAGTGGAGAAAGATTGAAGCCGCGAGGATCGACAAAGAGCATTTGTTTTGGGCTAAAGAGATGGAGAGGAGGGAAGCTAGGGATGTGGCGGTTCTTGGGGCATTGCAGTACTTGACAGGAAACACGTTGATAAAGCCGTCATGTTCGTCCCCAGAAGAGAGGATTAATGGTAATAATGAGAATGTTTCTGTTAAAGGAAGTGATAGCTGCTGGAATGAAGAAGAGATCATAAAGCTTATGGAGATAAGAAGTAGCATGAACTCGGCGTTTCAAGAGATATTGGGAGAATGCTCGGATGAATTTCTTTGGAAGGAAGTCGCAGAGAAATTGATTCAATTAGGGTTTGCTCACAAAAGTGCCTTATTGTGCAAGGAAAAGTGGGAATGTATAAGCAATGAGATGAGGAAAGAAAAGAAGCAAATCAGCAAGAAAAGGAAGGAGGATTCGTCGAGCTGCGGCGTGTTCTATCCAAGAACGGAGGAAAATGCTATCTACAACAATCAAGAAAGTAGATATAATGATAATGATCAGCATCAGCATCAGATGAATGAACAAGGCAATGTAGGTTCTTCAACATCAAATGCAGCTGCTGGGGAATTGAGAGGCGCAATGGCGGTTAGTACAAACTGCTACCCGTTCGTCATGGGAGATGGAGATCAGAATTTGTGGGATAGTTATGGTTTGAGGCTAAGTAGAGGAGAGAATCAGTGAGTGTATTTTTATTTAAAAATCTTAATATTAGGGTAGAAAGATTTTATGATGCTTTTTCTTTTAAATTTAGTATGGTTACGGTATCTTCAAGAGTTGCAAGGATATTATTAAAAAAACTAAATTAAAATTTGTTTAACTCTTTTCTATTCGGGTTTGGACCAACTTTTCTTCCATGGTCTGGTTCATAACATTTTAAATGGACCAAACACTTACAGAGTTTTTTAATTGATCGTTGTAATTAAATCGTGAAACTTGGTTTAACATTGGTCTAGAGAACTTAATCTAATACATGTACATAAATGGAGATACAAAGAAAAATACTTAGAAGGCTAGAGATGTATAGTTTGGGATAATCCTAGAGAGAGAGAGAGTTATCACGATGGTACTAGAGACAGCAGGGAGGAAGAGTAGTGAAGTAAGCTCTAGTCGATTTAGTGTGTTGATGGTCAGAGAGAAAGTAAACATTTGCCTTTAACTCTCTCCATGATCTCATTCTTTTCCTTTTGTCCCTATTCCCTATAGAGACAGTGCAGACACTAGCACGAGTCAATACAATCTTTGGTACATACACATTATTGACAATGTTGATTAATTCTGAATAGTCTCTATTCTCATTTAAGTGCTTGTTCGTTTTATGGGTTCCACACAAGACCATTCCTCCTACTTCTAGATTTGATGATTCTTCTTGTGAAACTTTATTAACTGTTTAATTTGGATAGAGATGTTGACATTTGAATGAGGAAAAGATGGTGGTTATTTTGTGTCATTTAATGCTGCATGTGTCATATATGTTGAGGAAATTTAAAGAACACGTCACGCAATAATTTTCAGAATTCAATGTTCAAGACAATCTATTGATAAATCTTGCTACTCTTTTAATTTAACAAGATGTTAAAGAAAGAAATTCACTAATATGGGGTTATAGCATAAAAAGTGTAGTGTTTTTTTTTTTTTGGTAGCGTTGGCAGTCTTTTAAAAGTTTTGGTCTAAATATGGAAAAGGTAACAAAAGGAAAATTGTAGACTTGTAATTATCTCGATCACAAAACAATTAAAACTGTTCTCATGACCTTATTTTACGTTCAGTCACTCTGCTCTGCCATTGTCTCTCTATTATGTCCACCTATGACTAGACACATCATCACCTCATTATATGAACTTTTTTTTTTGATGTTCCACTCATTAATTTAACATAAAAATCCACTGATAAAACATTCATATTTTGTCTTCATTTGGATACAATCATAATTCATATATATGGAACAACAAAATAGCAAAATGATAATTACAAAATAATGAAACAGTCAGAGGGTAATATTTTACAGAGGGTAAAACCATAAATATAAACCAGAGAGTATTTTACACGAGAAGAGATATATAAAGAAGTCTACGGATAATTCTCAAAAAAATAAAAAAGTCTACGGATGAAAGAAATGGCAACCAACCACGAGATTTCGTTGACCAGTCAACGTAGTAGCTAAAACAATATCCGGTCTTTTTAATGCAAGTATTTGGCCTTGTCAAGGTTTTATTTTCGTTACAAATTTAATAACTAGGAATAAAGGAGCAGAACATAATGAAATATATTTATTTTTATTAGATATGTATGCCACTTACCTATATATATATTTTTTTACAAAGATTGTTATAATTACAACAAAATTTTGCGGACTTGATCGTTGTAAATAATAAAAAGAAAAGAAAAACAATCTTATTATAATCAGGGCTTTAGTATCGTATTACCCAAATATTTTATATTTACACTGTCGGATTATTGTTATAATGTTATATCACATAATTAATTACACCATCTCAAAAAATATACGAAACTGCAAAAATGAGATATTAGTATTTGTAGTCTTTGACGTGAAGGCTCTCGGAAGCACCTTCACCAAGCTGAGCATCACCCTTATAGGCACCAGTGGTTGCCTCCGAGTTAGCCTTAGCTCGAGCCAAGAACGCCTTTTGAGCCTTTTCAACATTCTCCTCTTTACCTCCCCAAGCCTTAAGCGTACTCTGCTGAAGCGCACGCCCATACGAAAACGTCAAGCTCCATGGTTTCTTACCTTTGAGCTGATTAATCGCGTTTAAATTCACAGTTGCTTGTTCCTCACTCTGTCCTCCAGACAAGAACACAACAGCTGGAACAGCTGGGGGAACAGTCCGTTGCAAAGCACGGACCGTATGCTCCGCGATCACTTCCGGTTTCACCTTGGAGCTACTGTCGGAGCCAGGAGTAACCATGTTTGGTTTCAAGAGTGTTCCTTCCAAGATCACATGATGATCACTAAGAGCCTTGTAACAAGCTGCGAGGACTCGTTCCGTGACGTAAGCACATTTCTCAATGTCGTGAGATCCGTCTACAAGTATCTCCGGCTCGACGATGGGGACAAGACCGTTCTCTTGGCAAATGACTGCGTATCTAGCAAGACCGTAGGCGTTCTCGTGGAGGGATAACTCGGAAGGCTCGTTGGGTCCGATTTTGAGAACGGCACGCCACTTGGCGAAACGTGCACCAGCTTCGTAGTATTTCTTGCAACGGTCTCCGAGCCCGTCGAGGCCAATGGTTGTGGTTTCACCGGTTGTACCAGCTAGCTCGACGGTTCCTTTATCGACTTTGATACCTGGAAGGACTCCTGCTTCCTTCATTACATCCACAAATAGTTTCCCTGAAGCACAAATCAATAATATTAATCAACAAAAGAGTTTAGGACTTAGCTAAGATTGAGAGCTATACAATCCTTTTTTTAAATTAAAAACTAGAGATTTATGGGTTCCCATACATTCTCGAAGACAAGATTCATACCAATGAAAAGTAAATTTTTCTTTAGAAGTTGAATAGGTGATCTCTTATACTTCAATTACTCACAAGAATGTCATTTTAACACTTTTAATGTCATATTGATACATTTTTCTTCTAAAACAAAAATGTTATTTTAGCATTTCAATGCATTTATAATTTAATTATGCTTAATATTATGCATTGATCTTTGAATAATGTTATTTTAGAATTTCAATGAAATTTATAATTAATTCATGCTTATACTATACATTGATTTTGTGAATAATTTTATACCGTTCAAATACTATTTTGATTAAATAGGCATAACTTATACAAAAATAAATTTATTTAACATTTTCTTTAATTTTTGTGAAAAGTGTCAAAGAGACGAACACAATTTGAGAAACTGAAGGAGTATATAATCCAAGATTTTTAACCATTAAACCAAGTTCTCATAGATATACAAATCTAAACAAATAACTAAAACAGATCCTACTTTCGATCAAACTACAAAAAAAAAACAATAGAAAATGATTATTCGTATGAGTTTAATACCTGAAGCTGTTTTCTGGTAGAGAGTTTCCTCGAAGAGGATGACACCACTGATGTATTGGAGAGCTCCGGGAGTGGTGAACAAGAGCTCACGTAGAGCACGTCTGTTTGATTCAACGTTCTCAACGTTAATGCTTGCGAAACGTTTCCCGATTGTCCCAGTGGATTCATCGGCAGCGAGAATACCTTTCCCTGGAGTACCGATGTAAGCGGCATTGGCAATAAGCTCATCTGTGGAGATCAGACAAAATTTTATTTAGAGATAGAACAGTAATCTGTAAACGCAAACGTAAGAAGTAAAATGCGAGAAGATCAATGAGTCAGAGGGTTAATTTGTTAAGGTTGTGGTAAAGATTTTACCGGTGAATTTGGATTTGAAGCACGACATTGTGTAGAAAAGAGGTGGCGGCAACGGTGAAGATAGATCGATTTGAAATTGAGGAGAATGGGCCTTTGGGCTTTATATAGTAAAAGGCAGCGATGGAGGAGAATAATTCGAGGGAATTGGAGTTTTACGAGAGGTCCGTAGAAAATGACGCTTAACCTATGATAATGTGAGATTGAATATTTACGTGTCATCAAGTCAAAGTTGCAGGGCTTAACCTTTAGGGCTATTGTTAGTCCTTATAATTTGGCCCGCTAAATCCACTTACATGTGACAACAATATATGTGTAATCAATGGACCGAAACTAATAAGAGCCCAAATATGATGAAGAGTTTTTTCAAAAAGTAATGTTGACAGTGGGATTTGAACCCACGCCCTTTCGGACCAGAACCTTAATCTGGCGCCTTAGACCAACTCGGCCATATCAACTTGTTGATTACTGTACTGAGTGCATAAAAACAATTTATTGTCAAAAACCTATGAAGAAATTGATATAAGAGAAGTATAGATCACCCATTGAAGGTTTTTTATTCTTTGGTATTGGTTAAAGTTAAGAACAATCTCACAGCAATTCCACAGTGAAGAGATAAATAAATGTATATCCAATGAATTATATTGAGTTTGCAAAACCCTTGACAGCAGCTACACAGAACTTTTGTTTTGTTGGGACACTCTTTAAGTCTTAACTTGCTAATTTAGCAGTTTTGATGTACAACAATGTAAATAAAGAAACAAACATTACATGTGGGATCAAACAAAATACTACAACAAAACCTTGCTTGCTTTACCCATGGGAGGAGGTAGATAACATATTATCTACTCACAGTTTCCATTACTATTTTTTCAACTACTTATTTTTCTTCCATGTGACGAATTTGTATAGGATAAGAAGGATAGCTCACAAGTTGCAGCTATCTTAACTAGTGCTCCCCTCCTGGGCAGCAAAAGAATGCTGAGAGAGTGTATGTGCACCATTCATCAATGATTGTGTTGTGTTTAGAAGTGGACCGGTGACTTCACATATCCAAGCGATTGGGTGGAGGAACCGCTGCTTTGATCAATGGTCTTAGCAAATCCATTATTGTTGCAAATGATGGACGCTTCCATGGCTCACTGGCAATGAAACAATAATAATATGGTTAAATCTGAAAGGAGATTCAAACTAAATGAAGTTTTGGAGAAAAAAGAAGGAAAACTGGTAACCTACTTAGTCCAACAACCCTCGATTATGGCTGCAACCTGAGGGTTTAGATTCCGTGGGATCTCAAGCCGCTTATTCTTGAAACCAACCGCAGCTACAACCTATAGACCATTTTTTTTTAATTAACGAGTTGCTGAAAGTTTGTGATTAAGCGATTTTCAAATGCAAGTTATCTTTTGGAGTGGAAAGTACCTGAGCTGGATTTAAATTACCCCACGGTTGCTGCAACGTAGCAAGCTCCCACAAGATGACCCCAAAGCTGTACACGTCTGATTTCTCATTAGATTGCTCATCCCGGAGAACCTCTGGTGCCATCCACTCGGGCTGATAAATCAAAACCCAATCGGATTATTTATTTTCTACTGAGAAAAAAACAGACTTAAGTTGTTCAGCTTGTTATTTAAGCTTTAAACAGACTGAACTTACGGTTCCAGCAGCCGTTTTTGAAGAAAGAAACGTGTTGGCTTTTAAACGCGAGAGACCAAAATCACAAACCTGAAAAATTCCACGACAATTAGAAGAAATAATGTTTTGCACTGCACATATGCTTTTTAAGACAATAGCTTGTGACTAATGCTTCCATGGGTTACAGTGGACTAATGCCTTCTAAGTGCTCTCGGAAGAGGAATGACATATACAGTACTAAAGATCAAGCCAATGGACAAGGGTTTTGTAACTCGGATTCAAACCTTGACTGTGTATTTTTTGTCGACCAACAAGTTTGGAGATTTTAGATCTCTATGTACAATCGGAGGATTGCGATTATGAAGATAATTCATTCCTTTGGCCTGCAACCGAGAAATGAAAAGAACATTCAATGAAAAATACACCAAAATCACAAGGTAATCAACTCAATGTGCATCCATTCCGGAGTGGTAAACAAAGGAGGTTAAATATACCACATCATACGCCATACTCAAGCGGCGTCTCTCATCCAATTGCTCCCTTGCTCCACTTTTATGCAAAAGTCTGTATAAACTACCTCTGTTTCAAAAGAGAAACGTATTAGCAATAGACTAGGCTAAAAGGCTACACCTCGGCACACAAAACCTTTTAAATCCACGTGAACAGTACCTTGACAAATATTCTGTCACTATTGACAAATTTGGAGGTTGAGTGACAGCACCCATGAAGAGAACAATATTTGGGTGACGAAGGCGTTTCATTATTGCAACCTAACAGTGAATCAAGATCATGAAGGGCATTAGTACACCAAGTCTGCTACCAGAAAAAATGATAAAATTTTCAGTTGTGCACCTCTCTCAGGAA